AGAGCCCGACAACGCCAAGAGGGTGCTGGTGCAGTCACTCGTGACTTTCGACTCACGGGTCGTTTCGGCTGACGCCGTCGATGGCGGCTTGGTCGCGCTTCGTCGCCAGCCCCTCACCTTCTTCAACGAGGCTTTCCGTGCAAAGTTCAACATAACCACCATCATCATTACGATCTTCCTCTCGCACTCGCCGCCCCAGCCGCCGCCGCCACACGCCCCGCCATCCACCGAGCCGCCGCCGTCGACCCCCGACGCGCCGCCAGCACCGACGGCACCGCCGTCACCGCCGCCGCCACCACCGCCGCCGCCGCCGCCACCACGTCCCCCCCCACCCGTTCGAACTTCCTCCGCAATACCCGCCACACCCATAGTGCCATCCGCCAAGCCACCACAGGCATCGCCATCGCCATCGCCATCGCCATCGCCATCGCCATCGCCATCGCCATCGCCATCGCCCAGCACTTCGCCCTCCCCAATGTCCGACAAAGTGCTGACGTCCTCACCTCCGCCGCCGCCACCGCCACCTCCGCCGCCGCCACCAATGATTCCGTTGCTGCCACAATCACAACCGCACGCGCAGCTGGCCCCGCCGCCGCCACCGCCGCCACCGCCGCCACCGCCGGATTCCCCTTCGTCACCCCTGGCCACACCCCCTCCGGAGGCGGACGGCGACCTACCCCCCGCTGTGTATACCGGAGTGCTGCCCCCCTTTGTGATTCATTTGGAGCCCATCGCCCAGCCAGAACCGCCGGGTGCCCCACGATCTCCTGCAGCTAACTTTGCTCCGAAACCGCGGCCGCCACCGCCGCCATCAACCTCGCCGCCGCCGCAAAAACAACAGGAGCACCCGCATTCCCAACACGAACCGCCAACTGATGAAACCGCTCTGTCGCCCCCCGACTTCGTACTGCCAAACTGGCCACCTGATACACCTCTACAGCCGCCGGCGGTCCCCTGGACTCCTTCATCGCCGCCGTTAGCGCAGCCGCCGCCATCCGTACCCAGCTCACCGACGCCACCGCCGCCGACGCCGACACCGTCGCCGCGACCGCCACAGGGGCCTTCCCGGCCGCCTAATGTACGGCCGCCGAATCCACCGCGGCCCATACGCTCGCCGCCGCCGCCGCGGCCGCCATCACCGCTGCGGCCGCCATCGCCGCCGCGGCCGCCATCGCCGCCACCACCATCTACCCCGCCCAGGAATCCGCCCCCGCGCGTCCCCTCCGTGCCGCCTGTGGACTTGGCGCCGGCCTCCTGGCCGGTGTACGACATTGCACCGACGGGGGTGCCGCTGATGCCGCCAGGCTTGCCGACGTCAATGGATGCGCCACAAGCGCCGCCACCAGGACGGCCGCCGTCAGCGCCACCGCCGCCGTCGCCGCCACTTTATCCGTCCAGCGGCGCGGGCCCTACTTCACCCCTACTGCCCTCCTCCCGCTCCCGGTACTTTACACTCACCTTCACGACCCTCCTGCCCTTGGTTTCGGACGACGGCTCCTCTGGATCCAAAATCCAAGCCTTTTCCGGAGAACTCACAACTGCCTTGGCATCACTCTTTCGCGTCGCCGCCACTGGTGTACGGCTACTCTCCGTGTACGTCATCAAAGTGCCGTCATCGTCCCCGCCGCCATCATTGCCGCCGCCCTCAATCGAGCCGGCGGTGGCGGCGGCGACGGCGGATCCATTCGAGGGCGCTGGACCCCAGACCCCCACTTACCCTGGATCCGGTTCCGATCGGGCTCCGAAACCAATCACCCTTGACGGGTCGAGCCCGTACCCTATGAGCCTCTTAGCTGAGTCAGCGTTGGCGGCTTTCGCTGGCGACCCGGCGGCCTTCACCGCGGCCGCCGCCGCCGCCGCCGCTGCCGCGCCAGCTGCCCATCTGGAGGCGCAGTACAAAGTCGTCATCAATGCCGCTGTAGACCTAGCCAGCCCCGACGGCGACGGCGGCGGCAGCGCCACCGGCGCCGCCGCCGCCGCCGCCAGCCTCTTCACGGATACGGCAACAGCCTTCGGAAGTGACTTCTTGGCGGCCTGGCAAGTGCTCAGCGTTGCGGCGGAAGAGACGACGGCACCGCCGACGTCACCGTTGGCAGCCGTCCCTGGAGTACCAGCAGACCCCATGCCGTACACCGCACCGGCGGCCTTTTCTTCGCCGCTGCAACCGCCGCAACCACCAAGGCCCAAACCAAATTCGGAAGTTGGTTCAGGAAGCGGTCCCCAGTCCCCGGGCCCTCAGGTTCCCTTAGGACCTGACGCCGCCGCGACAAAGGACCGCACTGGCGGCAACGGCAGCGATGACTACGTTCGCAACGATGGCGGCGGAAGCGGCAGTGGTGGTGGTAGTGGCAGCGGCAACGGTAGCGGTAGCGGCAGTGGAAGCAGCAGCAGCGGCGGCGGCGGCGCCAGCACCGCCCGTCCCGACATCGGCGGTGACGTAGGCGGCAGCCGGCACGGCAGCGGACCCAACGTCAAGCTCATCGTCGCCGTCACTGTCGTACCGGCTGCCGTACTTATCATCGTGGTGGCGGCGGTCTACATGTGGAAGCGACCTAGCCATTTGGTATGTACGGGTTAGCCCTCGCCGGCATGTACGGCATGCTGGATTAACCTCGCTTATCCACTCTTCTTGTCCAGACCTTACTAATAACGCAAAACCTTGAACACCAACTTGATCGATTCATTTTTTACACGAGGGCCCACATGGACCACCTTGGGCCAGACTTTTCATCTTTGAAGCACTTTCATCTGTTGTAACTGTTCAACGTAAAGCCGCCTCAATTGCAAGGATATTAAGCTCAGGGATATTACGGGGTCACGCAACCGCCAACCGCCAACCGCATAAGCCTCACCAGACGCTCACTTCTAATAAGCCAATCCGCCATGATGCCACGTCGTACATTCCTCAGGGCTTCAATTCCTTCATGACGCCGCCGGAAGTACGGCAGACCGACGGCAACCCACACCAGCCGCCTGGGGTTGCAACGAATGCCCTACCTGTTTCACCCGGCGCTGCCGCCGCCGCCGCTACCGCCACCACTGCAAGCGCCCCGGGGAGCACGACCCCTAGGAGCTCTCCCGCTGCCGCCGTCATCCCTGCCACTACCGCCGGCACCATCGCCGCCACCGCATCCCACGCAGTCCTTACCGGCCGAAGCCGTAGCAGCGGCGCCATCATCATTGGCGGCACCGCCACAAGATCAGTGCCGTACACGTACGGCCGCTCAACCAGTCTCCAACCGCAGGCCATCCTCTCCGGCCGCATCCTTGGCGACGGCGGCAGTTACGGCGGCGCTGACGTCGGTGCCGCCGCCGCCACTGCCGCCGCAGCACCAGCGGCAGCACCAGCGTCCAACCACGCGGCGGCCGCTTTGTCGGGAGGCCTGCGCAGCTCCCGCGGCCGTACAGGGCTCAGTGCTCGCAGCACGGGCCTGCCCGTCAACCTCACCATTCAATTCTCACCGGCCTTCTACACCGAGGAGGACATGGGGCTGGGCCTGGATGGGCCCGTTGAGTTGCCGCTGCCGCTGGCTCCGGACGCAGTCCCCGGAAGGAACTCCGCCCCACGGGGAGCCGCGAGGTGACTTAAGCTCTGCGCCGCAATTCAACCGGCAGCCATGTTTTATTGGGTACTGCCGTACATGGCCGTACATGGTCGTACATGGTCGTACATGGATATGGACACCAGGCGATGCTAATTTGCGTTAATGATCTGCGCCGCGGGGGCCCACAGAGGAACTAGTTGAGTTGCGTTACACAGTTTGGGGAATTTATGGTGCTTACGAGGGTGCAAGGTGCTCAGGTGTGCAAGGTGCACTCAGTGTGCAGTCGATCAATGGATAATAATGAATAAGTGTATTTGGGGGGTGCAAAGGAGAGAGCTGTGCATATGTTGGGTTTGTGTGGGTGGGGCAGTGCTTCTGCAACACCAGAGGCGTGTGCGTGCGTACGTCTGTCTGTCTGTCTGTCTGTCTGTCTGTCTGTCTGCATGTCTATCTATCTGTCTGTTTGTATGTATGACTCTGTGTGCGTATGTGTATGTGTGTTGTTATATAACCATATGCGAGCAGGATCTCGACACGGTTCTTGTGTTTTTTGATCTGAGCCGCTCAGTCTGGGAACTGTGTGTCTAAATTCAAGCCACACACATCTTAAGGTGCGCACAGGAAGCGCGGAAGACCGCCTGGGTCCCTTTGCTTTTCCCCTTGGAAGGTGGGGCCAGTGGAAGGGGGGGGGGGCGGATAGAGGGGGAAAGGGATAGCGGCGGCGGTGTGTACGTGTGTGTGCGGAGCGGGCGTACTCGGCGCCCTAGGGGGGAAACCCCTTCCCAACCCCCCCCCTTCCTGAACCCGTCAGCTCTCACTCCAGCTGCCTCTGAGAGGGGGGGCTTGAAGGGTTGGCCTTTTGCCCTACATGTGCCTTTAACGACCAACGACTAACGAGTGCGTTTCAGTGGTCGTTAACTGCTAACTGCCATCCGTCCAACTTTTTTACTCTGTGGAGCTCAACATGCATTGCGATGCGTTTTAGCATTAGGCTTTGATTGTTGTTGTTGTTGCTGATGGTGGTGGTGGTGGTGGTGGTGGTGGTGGTGATGGTGGTGAGGTACTCTGGCGCGAATGAAGGAGTGGCGTATGGAGGCGCCGCCCGAAAAAATGCTTCACTCCGAATGGGGTTTTCAGCAATTTGTTGTTCTCCAGTTTTCCTTTTGCTGGGTGTGGGTAGCTGCACGAGACGTGCGATGAGCCACTGAATTGAAGAGATTGCCGTAGAATGAAGAGGTTGTCGCCGTACAGAGTGTACAACGCCAGGCCTTGAACAAAGGAGGACGACTTTGCCGGATGCGTTGTCAGTCTGGGGATGCTGGTGGTCTGTCGGTGTGTGGGGTGTTTCCCGGTGGGTTTAGCCCGCGAGGTCCTTGCCGTGCGTAAGCAATGTGACTGTCGACATATACGTAACAGACGAGGGTATTCATAGCCTCCAGGAACTTTGATGCGCCTTATTGGAGAGTAATAGCGCAGCATTCATTGTTAGGGCTGATTCTGCTTTACGTAAACTTTGGGGCTGTAACCTGGACTGCAAAAGCGCGCGTTACAGGCAATTTTATGCTTGCTGAGGATGAGCAACCTGAGCTTGAATACCCAACGCCTGACTGCGCTGTCTGCCATGGGATGACAGATGTTTGGCGTGACGTCAATTCAGGCGACAGCCAGCGCTTCATATAAAGATTATTCATATTTAAGCCTGTTGTGAATTTTTGCGGATCTACGCTTGTTCGTCAGCTTTGACAGAGCTTCACCATTGAAAACCACGGCAATGCCTGGGCGATGCACCCCGAATCACATAAATTAACCCACCGAAAAGATTTCAAAATGCATTTGGAGTGAATTTCTTCTGCAAGAGTCTAGTTATATAGCCGACTATGATTCGTACTCAAACTGGGAAGACCTGTTGAGATGCCAGAGGACGCGACCTCGCCAGGAAAACGTTGCATACGCTGAGGTTCTTTCCTGTCCCAGCGCCGGGGCCATTACAGCGTTCTCGTGAGTTACTAAACATTTTGAGCTGAACCCGGGGTTCTCGAAGGGGTCAGTCCTCGGGAAGGCCGCTGTAACCGCTGGACATCGCGCTCCGCAGCAGCATTCGTTAAAGCACTCGCGCCGGAAGGGCTCAACGGCCGTGGCGGGCTGGTGGACGCTGCAATCCAACCTGCAGCCAAATGCCGTGCTTTGCTAGCTCATATGCAAATATGTATATATAGCCGCCTCGCAGTTGAGAGCCCTTGCCTGAAGCATGAGTAGGCGGCTATAAGAGAACAGAGACAGGGTCTACGAAGTGAACGATGGCAGCTGGCTGCTCTTCGTAGGGGCGCACATGTAAAGCCGCATTAACCTGGTTACAATGGCAGCTACACACAGCACTTTGGACGGGGTAGGACCCTGGAGGGAAACTTGCAGCGCTTCCGCCGAGCTTCTCCTCAGCTCCTTCCCTTTAGAGACCCCGGCCGAAATATTTTTAAAGCCTGAGATGCGATCGCAAGTGTATTTTTTTAGGAATTCGATTTACTTTCGCACGGTGTTGCCGGACTTCGCGACGTGCACAGCTGCGGGTAGGTGGAGCGGGTAGGCAGCACGGCGGTGTCAAGCGCGCCTAGCGTGGCGGCGGTGGCGTGTCGGTCAAAATGGCAGTTGGCGGTGGCCGTCGAGTGAGAGACTGATGCTGAGAACTGCGACAGACCATCAGTGCCTCTTTCAGCAATCCAAAATGCCCCGGCCACCGGCCACCGGGGATAGCGAAGGGCTCCTCTGGTAGCAATCACGGCCTCTTGGCGTGGGAGGTGCACGCTGGAAGTTTCGTTCAGGCCAAGAGGCCAAGTCGCCATCCACTAGAGCAGCCTGTCAGCTATGCGCATCGTGGTCTTGATGGGACAGCAGAGGAGCACAGATGGATGTTAGTTAGGTATCGCTAGCCACGGCGGCAATTTAGGTGGTAATTGACGCCGTTACATCAGGCTAGCTTACTACAGCACTAGTACAAGTATCAGTAATTCATGAGTACGGTTTTCCTGCCAAGCAAAACAAGCAAAATAACATGTTCAATCATATGAGGTAAAGGTTCTAGAGCTGTGTTTACATGGCGAAGGGCTTTAACTTGTATGCGTGAATCTAATCAGCCGTTTAACGTTGACTTGGACCGCTCAAGTTCTGGACGAGCGGAAATGGGTTTCACCTGTAGCAAGTAATCCAACGCCTATATTTATTCAAGGCGCAGCCGCAGCTTTCGTACGAAAAGATGGGGCCACAGCAGCGAAAGGCCGTCTATCACATTTCATCTACAAAGCCAGTTGAAGGTAAGAGTCCTGAGCTTATAATTATCCTGTAATTTTAATCGACTGGTGTGAAGGTTGAGATTGAATGAAACCGTCCTAACGCGGCCTACGGGGTGCATTCCTATCGAGGAGCCCAGAATTTTCAGGATATAGTAAAAATCTGAATAGCACGTATGCATAGTAACGAAAGGGATCAGCAGTGTTGCAAATTTCTCGTAAAAATACGGTCATGGCTACCAAAGGCCATGACATGTAGCGTAGTCATTCAGCTACAAATAAGGGACTCTGGTATATGAGGAAAAAAAACCTTGAGTTAATTGTAGTGCATGCTTTGAGCGCGTAAGGTCATACGGTTCGAGCAAATGGTTTACAGCAGTTATGAGGTGTCGGTGGGGACCTAACAGGGAGCAGTTGATTAGCTACACACATCTTAAAGGTAATGTTAAAATTATGCAGGCATGGGTTTGTTACAGCTGTCGTGGAGCAGCAGAGGTGCTTAACGACTTTCATCTTTACTTATAATGACGAAGGTCTTGACAATTCAGTTTCAATTTCATCAGGAGAAAATTCTTTGACCGCAAATAGATTGATGCGGTGCTCCTTGCTTGAACATTTATCGCACATTTACTGCCTTTCACAGGAGTACGCAAAGGTCCCGCACCATTCCTCCAGAGCTCCAGAAACATGCACACGCACACCTTCGGTCTACTCTTACCATGGTTGTGGACATCCTGGCTGCTAATGGCCGTTGACCTGTCTGCCGCACCCGTCTTTGAAGAGAGGTTAAAGTCATGTGCGGCGGATTTGGCCCTCAAAATAGACAGGTAATGGACCTGCTGCCTGTGCATATCCCCCCTACGGGGAAAGGGGGTTCCCCGGCGGGACAAACCAGCAGGCCTCTTGTGTTTCGGAGCCCCCTTGCTTTCCCGCCGGGGCTCAAACACCGCAACCTTGGGCCCCCGGCCCTGAGAAGAAGGGGGACAGGGGAGGGAGGGACGTGAAGGACTATGTCGCCATCGGTGGAAGAAGGTCTGGAGTGCGCCCGGGAGGACCTCCCACCGTCGTAACTCCAAAACCCCACTCCAATGGTGGGGGTGAGGAGACCCAGCGTGCGCCCTCCCCCGCAGCCCCCGTGCACCCGAGCCGTTGCTGCGCCGTCCTCGCGTCCTCGCGTGGCGCAGCTAAGCAGGCGTCGATCCTAGGAGATCCTGGCTCTACACGCATTTTTCTGACGCCTAGAGCATTGAGAAACTAAAATCCAGAGAGAGGATGGACCGACAAGAAGTGTTTTGTTTGTGGCATTGTAACACCCGCACACTTCCCGGGGTCGACCCGACCCGGATGCTCATAGGGGGGAAGGGTTGCCCCTGGCGCGGCAAACATCAAGCTTGCCGCCAGACAATTTTGGTGTGGCAGCAGTCCGCGCTATGATGCAGCCTCCTCCTGCATGCCATCTTTTCCAGTTCTTATTCCCACCAAAGCCCTTTTCATCTCTTTTGCCCTTTTGCCTTTACCCTCGTTCTTTTTTTGCTCGCGCGGTACATCCCATCTCATCCCGTCGGTGCCTCTCCTCTGACTGACTGACCGACTGACTGACTGACTGACCGACTGACTGCAGCCTGTACACACAAGCCGGTGGTCCCATCGGCAACAGCACGATCCGCCAGGAGCTGGTGTCGGCAGCCGCCGTTAACTTTTCCACGGCATGCTTGGGGCTACAATTACAGACTCAAAGGGTAGGTGCTGTGTGTCACCGCTGCGGATGTTATTGCGGTTGTTGTACAGCACATTATGATACTGCTGTACAGTACGGCAATTTTACGGCAAGGTACGGAAGGTTAGGCGGCCAGGCGAGTTTCATGGTTCCCGCGAGCTATATATACCGGGGGAGAGGGCCATGACGTGTAATACCCACGCATGTGTGCGTGCGTGCGTGCGTGTGTGTGTATGTGTGTAGGTTTGTGTGTGCGTGTGTGTGTATGTGTGTAGGTTTGTGTGTACGTGTGTGTGTATGTGTGTAGGTTTGTGTGTACGTGTGTGTGTATGTGTGTAGGTTTGTGCGTGCGTGTGTGTGTATGTGTGTAGGTTTGTGTGTGCGTGTGTGTGTATGTGTGTAGGTTTGTGTGTGCGTGTGTGTGTATGTGTGTAGGTTTGTGTGTGCGTGTGTGTGTATGTGTGTGTATGTGTGTGCGTGTGTGTGTGTGTGTGAATGTGTGTGTGTGTATGTTTGTGCGTGTGGCTACCGGGGCGCTAAAATTAAGCGATCTGGATCAGCTGCCAGATTTGATCGTGTCTGTATGTCGACACATCCCCTAAGGGGGACAACCCTAGAGAAGACAACCAGCCCTTTAGGTCCATCTGCCGTACAAGTCGGCTCCCAGGGCCTCTGACAACCCAACCCGGGCAGCGAGGCGCAGTGCGGAGGAAAGCAGGGAAAGAACGCCCCGGATGTAGCTCGGGTTGTAGCTTCCTTCCGACGATGTGGGCTGGTTGGCAGTAACAGCCCTGAACACCCTAAACCCCAAACGCCACAACGCCCGCAGGCTGTTCGAGTCATGGTCCCCAACACCGGGCTAGCCGGCTTGCTGCAGAGCCATGCCAAGGAGTTTGAGGCGGTCACAGGAATTCGGGTAAGGAAGATGTGGTGGATGGTTTTCCTGCGCACTCGTACGACTACGGTCCATCCCGTACTGTTGCTGTACTGCAGTATGTATGTTCCTAGGAAAGTGCGTTCCTCTACCTGTCCTGCATGTCGCACAGCAGATATTCCGCAATGCGACATGACATGTAATATGCGACATGAAGCTCCCATTTAGGGGACTTCTTGCCCCGCTGCTGGTCTGTACTTCGAACGCCGGGATTGGCGTACGACAGCAAGTGTTTTAGCGGTGTTACGTATGCGACGTGATAATATGGGCCAGCGGGCGGCTCAGCCGGTACCTTCCTGGGCATGTATGCTATGATATAGTATAACTGACCTTTTGATCGCCCCACCATGGTCGATGATGTCTGTGGTCCTTTTCGCTGCCCGCCACATTATTTTTTAGTTGCCCTTTCCAGCTAAACTTCGCCGTCCGTTCCCTCCCCTGCACCCTTTCATGCGCTCCCGCATGTGTGCGATTCAGGTCTCCCTCAACCCGGTCTCGTTCTACGAGGTGAGCTCCCCCTCTCTCCTGGTCTCTGGGGCCGGAATAGGGTGTGTGGGTTCGGGAACCGCGTGCGGGGGTAACTGCGCCGGGTCTCTCTCTTTCTCTCTCTCTCCCTCCCCCCTCTCTCTCCCCCCTCTCGTTGCCGCGCTGTTGCAGGTGGTGTCGTTGTTGTTGCTGTCGTTGCTGGTGGTGGTGGTGGTGATGGTGATGGTGAGGGGTTTCCCAGGGCAGCGAGCACAATCACAATCGCCCGGCGTGACACGCCACCAACATTAGGGCATGTCATCGATGAATGCTTCACGGCATGGCTGACCTTGTACGGCTGCTACTGATTAGTGGGACTCCATTCCAGCTGCTGCTGCTGCTGCTGCTGCTGCTGCTGGTTTCCCCGAACGGTGCAGGTGGGCAAGGAGATCCAGCAGGAGCTCACGGCCGGTATCCGGGAGTTCTCTGACGGCTGGGTGATTGACCCCGCCGTGACAGGTGGGAGGGGTGATGGGAGGGGTGGTGGGAGGGGTGGTGGGAGGGGTGGTGGCAGACTGGCTGGTGGTGAGGCGGATGGATGGAGGGGTAGTTGAGGGAGAAAGGGGTTTTAGGGGGCAGGCTTGGATATGAGGTGGATTGAGGGAACAGCGCCCACATCATTTTTTTGGCTAACCTGACTTACCGCGACACGCAAACAGTCCAGAGTGGGTGCACGAATTACTGTACCGATGTGAGCTCAGTAGTCACCAGCGCCATGAAGCTATTTTCCGTAAGTACTGTAGATACGGGCTCGTATTATCACGGNC